CCAGCGATTGGATTGACGATAACACGGAAATTTGAGACACGAACAAATAGATTTAACGTACCAGAGTCATTTTTGGATGTGTCAAGCACCCAGGGTGGGCGAACTTACAGACGTGGTGTAAAACTGGGATTCTGATCATCAGATAAAGTTGAACACCTGACAGAGAATTACTTGGGAATACTGTTCCCTATCCGTAGAAGGAGAGACCAGTAATATTTGGACTCCAGCTTATCGGAAAATGTAATTAAAACAATTATTATGTTCAGTTATTCTTCCGCGGTTTGTTTGTAATGTCAGTCTAGTAGTGTCCAGTTTGTGAAGACGAAGTCTGCTTCTGTTTTGAGAATTGAAGGTTTGGATTGGGTTAATGAGAGTTTTAAAGTTGAATGCAAAGGAGCAAAAGATAAATTGTTAGTGACAATAATTTGTGGCGTTCTGAAATCCGACTTTTAAGGTTAAGATAATTGACATACTAACTAATTTTTATTATTATAAATTATCGACAGAGATTAAAATACTTGTTAACACGTCTCTGTTACAATTAGACAAGATGCAAGAATAAATTAAGTTACTTGTAACTAGTATATTATCAAGAGATCATGCACATATTTCTTTTTACAAACTAGATCCAAGATCTATGGAAAAAGTCCTTTGGGGATAAATTATTACACTCTGACAAGATTTAAACTTTAAATATTTATTGACAGACAAAGCATATATATAGGAAAATGTAAGGGTATCTAGCTTTCTTATCACATAATTTTTTCCATAGTCTTCCTGTTGAACTTCACGAGGGAAAAAAAGCATGGCGGACATTAAATATGCATGCAATCGTGTTCTGGTTTGCGTTAGATCTTTTTGTTTCGTTATTTTGCGATAAGTCGTGCACGATGTTCTAGTTCCTATGTTGATACAGTGAATAAGAATAGAACTGTCAATCACTATGTATTTACGATTAATGTCTGTAATATTTATATTTTTCCGTGAAATTCACCATGGTTAGACTCTCTCTCTCTCTCTCACATAGTTTCTTTTAGAACTTCAAAGGCGACAAATTAACGGTTGCAGTATTTTCTTTGTTGGTCTGGTGTAGGAAGCTCTTGATGGACACGCAAACAATGAAATCTCTTTAATTTCTCTCAGAGTCCTATAATCCCCATCCAATATATCAAAATTCCATGTACACACTCCTTTGTTCTTAATGATCACTTTAAGTGCACGAAGACAACAAAAATGCACTGCAAAACATCACAGGTGCACATTTTGGTGCAATTTAATCTGTGCAATGATTCGAGAAGACAATGTGTGCCAGAAGAGGAGCTCGCTCTAGGGTGACAAGACAATTTCATTAAGGCCGGAAGGGTGTCATCGCGCTAAAAACCTAAAACCTTGGCGCACTGGAGAGAACAAGCGCTCATCATCCACTTTTTATCAAACTAGAATAAAGGATGCATTAAAATTACATGTAGTTTAAACCAGTCTCATAGAAGGCGTTATGTTGTGTATTTTGTGACACTAAAATGGAAATTATAGACTTGTTAAAATTGATATGACTTCTAAAAATAAGCATCAGAGTGCTTGCTCGGTGCTAAGTTAACTTTTTTGTCGTTGGAATAATATTTTTGACACATTGAGGATGGGAGTCTGCGGCACAATGGTTCCTTAAGATCATTTAAAATTAGTGTCAACGTGGTGTAATTTAAAATGTCCAGAGAATTTGAGAACCAACCATTCATAACATATATTACCACAATGCATTCCGTTTTACGATTAATATAAACTCGAGGAAGGGGGCAAATCATTTACATATTGGAGTCTAATTACAAGCCTTGGCGCGTCGGTTTTAAATAAACGGAATGAGGACAGTCATTAACACTTCGTAGAATTAATGAAAAGAAAAGGAGCTTTATTTGATACAGACTTTATATGAGTACCAATATTCCCTTATTATATTTTGGCCACATCGAGGTTTATACATGATTTAATTTTTAACAAAACTATGCAAATATTGAAATATATGTACAAAGAAATTAAGATTTTAAATAGTCGTGCGCTTAGGACTCCTTAAATGTATACGCTCATTTCTTCGGTCTATTTTATTTATGAATATTAAGTTGTTTGACAACTAGTAAAGATTGGCTGTCTTTTCAGTTCTTGTTCATATTTAACATGCAATCGATGCTCGTAGGCTCATATCGACAAAATCCAGAAACTTACAATCCTTAAAACACGGCTTCAAAACCTCGCGATAGAGAATTTCTCTCCCTTGAGAAGACCCTTCGTCGTCTCGCAATGAAAGAAAAGGTTTTCCTCTAAGAAGCTAGATTGTAGATTTTTATTTGTCTCAGTGGATTTTCATATGTGTAATGGCCTGGAATTGACAAAACGCTCAAATAAAGCAGAAGACTAAATACATATCAACATGAGAGCTATTTCGTTTTATTAGCGATGTTTAAATCAATCCATTACCTATATAAAAATCCACTCCACTTTTTACTACACCGAGGCTATCCATTCTGCCGTTTTGAATTCATTAATGCTATTCATGCTATCAGAACATATGACAGTTTCAATAGAAAATTGATATTTTTTTCTTATGAGAAAATTGCCTCTGTCAAATTAGTTTGTCAGAACTAGATATGAGGACCCTAGAGAATTCGTGGGTGTGAAGGAATATTTTGTACTCTCTATGCAGTATTTTCAGTAATAATCTATCCAGAGCAGATAAGGACTTCAATCTCTCCACCACAGACCCTACTGCATCACAAGGGAGATATTTAATGGAACTCACAATTAACCGGTTAAGAAATGTTGATTTTTCTCATTATATCTGGTCCACATTTTAAAGCATTGTTAAATAGCTTTCTTTACTCGATGTTTGACTCCTTGCTTTTTAATGAAGTTGATTAAAATCTGACAAATTTTCAATACAACTGGCGGGTAGCTTGCATAACATTATTGAGTTTCTTGTCGCCGGGCACAGCAGGGTATTGCACTTCTATCAAAGAGAAGCAGACAAATGAATAAGGCCTTGCTTCAAGTATCCAGAACTCACCAAAAGAAATCTTTAGACTTTCCGTGACATATTTACGACTGAAGTCAACATTAGATATACTCGTAAAAGACTTTATTTGTTGAAATTCAATGTGCGCCATTGGCAAAAGACGAATTAAAGCAAATCCTGCTGGTGTGTTCTTCAGTATTAGGATTTTAGGAAAATGTCTGTCTTTTTTCCTTTCTCTCTCTCTCTCTCTCTCTCTTTGATAAATTCATTTTTCTATATCACACACAGATCCCAGAGGCCCTCTTAAGATGTTTGCAACCATCGCATTGTACAGGGAAGATAATCAGTCTCATTACAATTGATGATGAAAAAAAATAATCGTTTATCGAATTAGATGAAAATTTCAATGTCTGGCATTAAACATAACTTTAACTTTGATAATTTCTAATCTTTCTTTTGCAGATACATAAATCAACTCGATAAGGAGAACTTCTTTATTTGACGTCAAAATTAATTACTGGTTTTGTTTAATGGCTACTGTGTCTTTGTTGTAATTATTCGCCCGTTGCACATCTTGACAAAGGGTTTAAACATGTTACTCACTTGTCAATTAGAAATAAAGATGAGAAGGGTTCAAAGTACAAAGTCCTTAAACTAACCATGGCAAATTAAAGGATATAATTTCTTCATCAAAGTCTTTCGAGGGCGGATGACCGGACAAGATGTAATTCGTGTATTATATTTAGGCAATCTTTGGCCAATCTGATTTGGTTTCAGATATGAAATAGATACATTTCGTGTCACATAAATTTGTCACAGAGCCATCGGCTTCCAAAATTTATTGCATTCTAGATCTAGGGGATGTGTCTTTCGTATGGGGTGAAGGTGCAATGAAATAAACAGGTATTGTGATAATTTATGGCTTGAATTCGACAAAGATTACTTTTTGAGCTGGCTATTTAATTTTTGAAAAATAATTCTAGTTTAATTTGGCAAGATATCGATCTATTATCTATGGAATCTTGTCTAAGAATGCCTTTGTCCTTAAAAGTTTGCACCTTTGTAACAATGGATAAAGCCGTTCCATAACACAGCTTTAGATGAACCTATGCCTTGTAAATTGACTTTTTTATTCAATGTGACAGAATTATATCGGCATTACATATCTTACATGTATATGTATACAAACATTAATCCACTTAGAGCCCATGCCGTTTTTGTTTTTCCCACCCAATACTTGAAAAATGACTCGTCTTCTATTATTATAGGATACTACAAATGAGAGGAATAACCTTAGAGTAGGAAGGTTGTTGGTTAACATGTACGATTTTTTTTTTATGAAATGACACAAATTGTAAGTAATACGTTTCCAATTCAATCATAGAGAAGTGAAGAAAAACTCGATTATTCAGAAATAATTGGAAGTTAGGAATTCATCTCCTTAAATCAATATACAGATGATAATCATATAATATCTGGTCCGAGCGTAGACGATAACACTTGCTTCGTAAACCAATACAATCAAACACTAAAACCGTTTGTGTTGGTATAAAGAAAACAGAAGAAGTGGGAAAATACACAAATGAATTATATGACTAGGAGTTTTTAGCCAATTAATTGGTTTAACATGCCTGAAACTGCAATAACAACGTCGTTTTGACAAGAATATTTGTTCAAAAATCTTTAAAACAAGATCTAGAAAATCTATAAAATGGAGAAATGGAGAAAATATCTTTAAAAAAAACCCGTTAGGATTGCAAGAAAACAAAACATTTTTTGAGACAAAATGACAATTTCAGACAATATTAAAGATGAAATGTGTGTTCTCAAGAGATGAACACAATAAAAAGAATTCAAAAATGTCTTATTTAAAATAAAAGCTAATTTCATGTGAATTGTCTTCGCTCTTAATTCAAATAGTCGTGTAAAATGTTTATTGTAATGAAGAAATCCTAAATCCATTTTTTGACAGATTATATAAAGATAATCTACTTACCCTTCGTTAATAAGGCCGAGACCAGCAAAACAAATACCAAAACACCATTAAAAAACGGAATCCCATCCATGTTTCGGCATTGGTCACATTAAAATCACATGTTTTCGTTCCCGTGAAGAAAACACATCAACCAAAATTTCAAATTCCCTTTTCACAAAGGAAAATGTTGAATAAGTTTGTAAAATTTGTACGAATAGTTCACAGAGAAAAAAATTCTATGATGAATGTAGCGGAGAATCCTAAAATCTCATCCTGGATATAAATTGAATTACTGGTTAATATCACGGAAGAACCACTATGCATGTATCGTCAGATAGTAGCTCAACAACCACCAGGCTTACTCTACACACAGCCGAGAGATAACTCCAGTATTTAACGATCGTCGTTTTTGTTTGCCAAGATATCTGTATTATAGGAATCTTTACCCATCCATTTAACGCTGCATGATTCCGTCATCTGAAAATTTAAATAAAATGTATTGCATTAAAATTTTAAAATACCGAAACAAATTCTGTGGCAAATATTTGTTGATTTAGTATGTACCTAGTATTAGCCGATAGGACATATTATCTGTCCAAAAAGAAAACCTAGAAATATGTACAAATACTTTATCATTTACCTGTAGCCGACTTGTCATCTAACATAAGGTGCACCTTGTAATCACGCACGTGGAAAGTTGTTCAAACTGTTTTAGTGTGGGCTGTTTGGGTCAGATGAACCTCTTTTCGAATATTTTAAAGACATCAAACTGTTTATAAACTTATAGCCTTAACAGCTGTTTAAGGAATCCAATGGGTGCTAGCTTAATTCCAGATAAATGTACTTTTAAAAATGAGAACGACTAATATTTTGTAAACTAAACGGATCTCTGAGCAGGAATTCTGAATTTAAATTAAAACACGACTCTTGTAATAAATCAGTATAATGATAAAATAAGCGTTCTTACAAGGTGGATTTATTCTAGGTCCTTTCATGAATCGCTGCACCTGAAAGCCTTTTAAATTATTTGTTACTTTTTCAACCCGACACATACTTTTTTATTGAACCATAACTTCAGAATACTGATAAATATTAAGATACATGCAATACTTGTATTCGTAATCTTAATATCTTACATGATATTGACAGGTAAAAAGTCAATCACTGGTCATCGCAAAGTTTACGACAACTGGTGTTTCTCATTTTACGACATCTGGTTTTGATGACCTTGGCGCTTTCAGTTTCCTATTTACACGTTCCAAACTATAATGATTTGGATCTAATTTTTTTCAATTCTGAACATATAAAGGGGCAAAACAGCAGTCACATCCCTCGACAATGTCAGTCCCATTGATACTGAGTATGTCCACCAATTGCAGCACAAAAGTTTGTAAGCTATAAATTTTGATTTACTTTACATGCTAAAACGTTTTTGTTTGTTTTGCCACAACTACATTGTAATGTAGGTTATAAAGCAGGTTTTAATCACACTTCTGCATGGTAGCCGGATAAAGCTCGAACTAGGAAGCGGTTCCATTAACAGGATGCCTATTCTGTCAGGTCATCGATGAATTGGGTAAATATAGATTTTATTCAATACACAGATCTTTGAAGATATTCATTTCTTTGTCGTATAAATCTGGTTTGGAACCGGAAGTGTGGTTTTTAAAGAATCTGTAAAGAATTCAGTTTCCAGAAAAAAAACTTCATCTTATCTAGCTATGATCTTATGCCTCCCCGCATTACGTTAAATAATGCATACAAAGAAATCGGATTTCCAGTGAAGCATGGTATATGCTGAGTGCAAGTTATAAAGCTGGATTTAAAATATGGTTGTATCATCTTTTGGAAACTATGAGAACAAAAATTTATGCATATTTATTTTCCAGTGCAAAAAATCAAACATTGTAAACATTAAGAAAAATATGGTAAACAAATTGCATGTAAAACCAATGTGTCCATGCTTTTGGTAAACAATCAAGCACTGTAGAGTTCTTATCAAACCCAGACGGAAATTAAATCCCAAATATTGTATGTCTCTTTGGTAAAAAAATAATTCTTTACTATGAAAGTCCAGTCAACTGAAATATGCTGATTTCACAATCAATCAAATCTCATTGGCGCTAAATAAGATGATACGAAGATAACATATTTAGAATGCAATATTTTCGCTGGAGCGAGGTTGACACGTTGACAAAATCGAACTGTTGGTCTTCTTTTTACTTCTCATCTTATCAGAAACATTTTAAGACCAAGATATTGCGGTTTTTAAAAGCTTTTTCGTTAAAAGACAAATACACAGTCCCACCCTTGTTGATTTTAGAGATGAATATCACAAATATTTGTTAATGCTATAATATGAAGATATATGGGTGCAGCACAAGTGACACCTCAATAAATAAAAAAAAACTGATTTCAAACCTTCTTGCGATTTTTTTTTAAATTGGAGAAAAGCTCATAATCTACCTCACTGGGTATATATGCATGTATGGAGCTCATGCTTGTGAAGATGTTTTAATAATATTTTATTTCGGATACAATGCACCTAAGGGCCATTGTAATATTACGTAGGTAGCAATTTAAGTGGGGGGGGGGCAATATATTCTAAATTGGGGGCACTCATCTAGTATCTAAAATTCCTTGACAAGCAAAAACGAGGGTTGTGAGACATTTTAATTGAGGTGTAATAGTAAAATGGTAATTGCACGAGCATATAGTAATTAATTTCTATAGTATACTATTCATCCGCATAATCGCATAATTATGGGGGGGATCTTACGGCCATGCAAATATTGACATTTATAAGCCATGACCAAACGTTTCAGTTTAAAATAATCATATGACGTAATTTTTAAAGAAATTGATAATGTCAGCTCCATATATGTCAAAAGACCATGGCTTAAATTTTGAAATAAGTTCGATTCCAAAATGACGAACAGCAAGTATATTGGGTGTTGTCTGGGCTACTGTCATAGAAATTAAATGGTATACAAGTACATGCATCCATTTTTTTTTCCAAAGAAAAAAAGCACTTGAGAATATTTCCTTTGAATGGCTGTAACATTAAATATCATCAGAGTATACGTACACAGCCTGACAGTACGCAAAACATTCTTGTCTGACCCACTTTCTTATCTACAATTCTTAAACATTTTTATTTCGAACGATTGATTTCCTTTTAAGAAATGTGAAAACATAAAAGGAGATGAAAATTGCCTTGTCCGACATATGTTTTATAATGATGATATACATGTATGTATGATATAAGTACAGTTGTCCAACGTATGTTTAGACAGGCACTGTATGTTATATGTACAATTATCCGTGAGTATATTCAAGGTTTCCAATTGTCAGTAGGTATGCCATAGGTACAACTGTCTGTACGTATGTTTTAGGTACAATTGGCCATACATGTACGTTGCTATATGGAAAGTTGTCTGTACGTATTTGTTATAGATACAATTATCCATACATATAAGCTGTAGGTATTCCATTGTCTATAGGTATATTATATGTACCAATTTCTATATGTAATACATGTACAGTTGTACTTCATATGTCATATTACCTCAAAGCAAATGTTATTGCTCTCATTTACAAAAACTTTCTGAATGTACAATTTACCCAAGAACTGAACTGCAATGTACAAAATGTCAAATCTATCTGAACCGACAATAATCGACATCCATTTACTATATCTAATATTGTTCTGTCACCTGTGGTTGGGTGGGTGTTAATGTAATATTCACAGCGTGACTGCGTAATATAATACACGGAATTCGTTGACACTAAAAAAGAAACTTGCGTAATATCGTTTTCTGCGATCGAAAAGCAATATAACATCATTGTACATACATGCGCAAAAAAGTATTATTAACCATCCCTTTGTGTGTCGTTGTCAACGTCTGTAAAGTACATGTTAAAAATTACAAGACTCGGAAGCCAGCACCGGAATGAAGATGTAATAACACCAGCACTGATGGAATGTATATGTAAAGTTAGCACCGAGTTCCGACGTTTTGCACATTTAACAAGAAATGCAGATGAATAACGGCAACTAAATTCAATCAAATACATGTAAAAATAAAAAAATGGTTTACAAATAGAAAATATTAATTAAGAAAACTAAAATTCATACCATTTGTCATATCAGCCCAGTGGCCCAATATCAGCCCGAGTGACCTAAGGTCGAAGGTCCGAGTACCAACACTTTGTCTGAGAGAGAGAGAGAAAGAGAGGGAGAGGTATATTGACTTTTTCCACTTTTTGCAAATCAAATATTTATTTATTGTATGTTACAATTCTTGAAATGATTGAAGACATTTAATCAAGAGATTTTAATAGTTTTATTATTTAGATACCGACAAATCACGTATGGGTGCTATATTTGGCGAAACAACTTCAGCATAACAACAGCTTTAAAGTGAAGTTATTAAATCGATCACAAAACTTCAGTGTATACTTGTTAGTCAACAAAATAAAAGAAGCAAATTTGAGTTATTATGATAATTTTACATTCATGTTACTCAAATTTGCATCTTTAAGTCTTTCAACAGAAATTTTATCTTGTTGCTTATAAATAATTTTAAATTTCATTACAACGTGTATTGGTAACAATTCTCTAATAAAACTTATGCCTTGCCTACATACATGTAGCCGAGCGCGGTCTATCGCGCTGTTCCTGTACTGCTAGGAGACAGATTCTGTAGGTCGAGAGTTCAACCCCGCGCTGGGGCGGAAGTAGCTGCAGAACTGTAGCACTCCGAAAAATATATTGATAGACCGGAGAGCTACAGTGTCATCCGTTGAAAAAACTGTATATTTATTGCGCACAAAAAGTTGCGCTTGTGTATGGATTAATTCTTTCAAACTCTTACCTCAATTTAAAAAAAATAGATTTCAAAAAATTCCGTACTCTTCTATGAAGTACTTTCAGGCGCGTAGCTGCCTATACGCAAGTACGCAAGTGCGTACACATCATTTTCAAAAAAAAAAAGAAAAGAAAGAAAGAAAACAGAATAAAAGAGAAAGATTTATTCGGAGAAAAAGAGGAACTATCTGTCTTTCAAATTATTTTACGTCTTATTGTTTCTATTCAAATTTTGTTCAGAATTTATCGTTATAATCAAGTCTTTTATAAATTGAATTCCAAAATTCTTGAGTAAGAAAATATTGTTGTATCAAAATTTCAACTGTAAATCCGCGTAATCCTGATTATCCGGAGAAATTGTAAAAAAAGCTGTATATTTATTACAAGCGCACAAAAAGTTGCGTAATTGTGTATGAACAAAGTAAATATAAATCATTTATGAATATCTTATTTTACTGATGTTACCAGTTTATAGAATTTAACTCTTCACACTGTTTAAGCAATATAAAGGTAAAAAAAATATATTTTGAAATTTCAAAAAATTAAATAACTTCTCTGTTTAATCTCACACTTGGAAACTTTTTTTCTAGAAGTATCCATGGAAGTA